CTGCAGCTTGACAAAGGTCCCTGGCCCCATTACAGCAGGCGATTCTCAAAAAATTCCAGAGAACGAACGAAATAGGTACATTGAGTGAAAAGACACTAAGCATTTTGAATGTATACCCCACAGATCATGCAAAATGAAGAAAAAAAGGGAAGTTAATAAATTCTTAGTAGTATAGACGCTTTGCAGCAGCTGTGCATGGGCGCCGCCAAAACTGACCTTCAGTTTTTGTTTCCTCTTATTTCGTTTATTGCACTTCATCATTACCATAGCAGGCCAGGTTATTGCCACATTATATTCAACTGGGTCCTTTTATAAAGCATCGGCCTTTGGAGAGGATCGGCAACTACTGTTTCAGTTGCTCGGCATCTCGGTAAGGCAAGAGAAACTCGGCAGTGACGGCTATAATTTGGCGCGTGTGTAAAGCGTCTATACAATGGTACGGTGATCCGTATGCCTTAGCCGTGCCCTAAAATAATGCTCGTACCTCTGCCAGCGTCCTTGCATGAATAATAACACCTTTCGAAAATAATTCATTTAATAAAGTGGTTAATAAATAATTTAGTGTGTGGTTGTAGTATGATGTAGGTGATGGTGTACAAAACAATTTTTTAGGGCGGAGTTGATACGAAGAAGTGAGAAGGACAGGGTTACATAATTCCCCCGAACTTTTATTTTTAAACTGAGTTATATTTCTTGTACGCCATAAGAAGTCGGAACCTGTAACTATTCGAATTTTGTTTTTAATAAACATTGAAAACAAGCGTTTAGTATGATCATAGTATAAAACATTGGCAATAATACGCACAATTTTCTTTTGTAGAATATGTGGTTGATTTGTATTTCTCCAAACTAGATGGCAATAATTAAGTTGCGAATATACCGAAGCATTATAAAGTCGAAGCTTAACAGAACACGGTAACAATGATTTAAATTGGGTGATCATCCCCACTGTTTTCCACTCTTTAGACGAACGGCAATCAACATGCTTATTTCAAGACATACTATTTGCAAAACAAACGCCCAAAGTCTTAATTAGTGTCGAGAAATTCAATTTCTTCGTTGTTTAACATCCGGGGGTTTGTGATCATAACTGGAGCATGTTCACTTTTAAATAAAATGGCTTTATTTTTTTTTTGGCGAATTTAATTTAAGGTGATGCTTTACCTGAAATTACAGGAGACGCTTTTCCGTCCTCCAAAAATGTTAAAGCAGTTCGCGACAGAGCAAACCGATATCGGCCGAGTTTTCTAAAACCTCCTCCAAAACTGAGGAAGTCGCATTTTCTGAATTGTGGCGATCGACAGTTGTGTCTGTTCTGCACCGAGCACCAAGATGGCGGCGCCCACTAGAAGATCGGGAAACGGAGTGCCGATACTATACGCCTATATCCTTTAGCTATAGAAGCGCGAGATTTCGCTCCACGCGCTCCGACCTGCAATTCCCTTGCTACACACTCAGCCACCGTTGCCCCGTCTCAATATAAAGAAGTTTTTGTTTTTCTTGTCGTAAAAGAAGCGAGACACATTTGAGTGCTGCATGACATTTTTGATGGGCCCGCTAAGGCAGTGACGAGTGCGTCAGCGGCGCCTTCGACACTCTATTTAGGCAGTGACAGCTTTATTTTTAGCGCACTTGAACACACGCACGCACGCACGCACACAAACACACACATACGCGCGCACACGGACTAACGTTATATACTCAAAAATACCTAACAATGTGAAAAAAGATTTTAAAAAATCGCTTATCTAATTATAGTTCTGAGATTACTAGGTTTCTTACATATAGTTTAAAGGCATAAACATATCACTTTAAGGTGACGAAACAATTAAATTAGGCTTCCATTCTAGTGACAGGTGAACATAAAAGCAACCTAAAAAAAAAATCTGTTTTATTGAACTCAAGGAGCAAGAAGAAAAACAAGAGCTTACGCTGGATAACAAACACAAGCATGACACTCTGTCGTTTACAACTTTGTGCAAAAATACCAAATCCTGAAGATCTCTTCTTTCGGAAGGTGTGTCAACACCCATTTTGCTCAGCAGCCAGTCATAATAATAATAATTTACATTCGAGGTATATCGGTCATAGATTAAACGAATAAAGCGTCGGTAACTCTCGGTTCGCCTCTTGATATTGGTGTGGATAGCCAAAACACACGCGGCAATCAGTCTTCCACCAAGCGTTCCAACGACTACAATAATTGTTTTCTATCACGTGAATAGTGTTAATAAATGTCCAATACTATAGCACACCTTCAGCAAAGTCGGGCGCTCCTGTGGTGGCGTTAATTTCGGGAAGTATCGATGAAAAATATGTTTCAACTCTGAGCACATGCACGCGTCAAGAAGAGAACTAGACTTATTCAGAAATGTCATTGACTCTGGTGAGAGTTTGGGTAGTTATCTTGTGAGAACACTAAATATCTCAGCTATTTCTGGTTTACATTATGTTCGAGAACCGTGTTCCTCCGTGGAATAATATATAGCTATATAGTTCAATGATGCTTTGCCGTAATAAGCATATAAGAAGTAAAAAAAAAGCGCTGGTGTAAAAAACAACAAAAAAAAAACACTTGTTATTAACACTTAAGAGTAATTTATGACAGTGATCGCCTTTGCTTTTATGTCACAGTTAATTAAAACACTAGCATTATTCAAAGATCGAATTAAAAAAGTATTTCTTATGGTTTTTACGTTGAGGGAATTGCAGATAGATGTTAGATTTATTAGTTATAGAGACCTTGTGTATTTTAACGTTTGACATGCTTTTTTGTTCTATTCACTTGTACATATTGTACATATTGCCTTTGTACATATTGCCAGTTCTTAAAAAAAGTGTACTGTTCGATTAGTCCAAACTAAATAAGACTGAAATTAAATCGAATCGATTATTTTGTACGACAAAGCGGATTACAGTTTTAAGTTAAATATCTATGCATCTGTTCAATATTAAAAACAGGGGAAACGAAAAAAATAAACATTTTTTTTTTATTATTGTTAGTAATTATAATTTTGCTGTTATACTAAAGGGTGCTGGCAGAAATTATGGTGCAGTTGTTTGAGGTTATCTTTGATCTTCGCTATATCAAGAGCTCTCGTAATACATGAACAGGAGTAACTATCACATTCAGCACCATAAATACCATTCAAATTTACATATAATAATCATTCTAATATCGACGTATCGGTCAGTAATGCAAGGCTTTGGTTGGTTCGCATGTTATGGTTCAGAATATTGGGTTGTTATGACTAAACCATTGTATTTTCTAAATAATAATTTGACCTTCTAGCACTTACACAGAAGAAGAAAATCATTCGGCTCACGAGAAAAAACCTTCCCGAATAAATTGTTATCGTTCTTTTCCGTTGAGAGGCAACAACTTACGTAGCGTGACAACGTAAGTTTAGTTAACTCAGTTTATATTAGCATTCAACGTGTTTTTGTTTTTTTCTTGTTGTACACCTTCGAGCAATCTCTTCGGGGCTTAAAGGTATAGAGTAAATAAATAAATACCATCACCGTTGTATACGACTGAAATAATATTTTTAATGCGCGTTCGGCGTGTTATTATATGTAACGATATATCTCCAGATATAGAAGTTAAAGACTTTCAAACCACATGTGTGTGACGTTTTTAAATCCAAATGCCCTTTTAAGTTCCACACACACAAAAAGGAAAAGAAAAGGATTGTAAGACGGATCTTCTAGGTTCGATACGATCAGAATCCAGCATCCGGTTTCCAATGTTGCCAACTCCACAGATCGGGCCAAGCGATGAAAGGGCGCAAGACGTTCGACCTTTCCGGGACCTCAAGTAGACAATGACCCTTGTTTTGAGTTGGCGGCTACCGAAGAGACTTAAAGCCGCCTTGTCTGGCCTGCCGCATGTGTGTGTGTGCTCTTCTGAGAAAAGAAACAAACATTTTCTGCTATACAAAGGATTTAAGGAAGCGTGTTTGGTGAAATAAAAAAGATAATAAAAAAAATTCCTCTATGTTCAAAACACCAGAAGACACAAAATACAAACACACACCAGCGTTGTATTTGTATTCCGCGTTTTTTTTTACTCATTCAGAACGTTGAAGAAGTGTTTCCGCTAGCAGTGTGTGCTCTATTAAGAGCACCACACTGCGTATAATTGGGGTTCCGACGACTGCTTCTATTATTCTAGTCATCTTTGTTCAGAAAGATTCACGTGAGAGAAAACAACAACACGGAAGAAAATGTAAATTAATTTGTGGCAGCTCTAACACATACGGTTGTTGGTAATTATGATTGTTATGAACAAGGTAGCACAGCATAAAGCAGTAATATCATGCTATAAAAAGAAAACGCTAGGTAAATCATTTCGTATAGGAGACGGTCGTTTAAAAATTACACGTTGCCGGGTTCGGGCATTGATACTTCTAAAAATTTGAGGTAATAGAAGTGAATTTGTTTTATTAATATAAGAAAAGGCTAGAGATAATTTCAAACTAAACCGAACAAAACAAATAATAATACTAAATACAAGGCCCCCCTCCCCCCCCCCCAAAGAAAAAAAAGAAGAAAAATTATGTCTTCTAGATTATTTCTAGATTCATGTTTTTGTTGATACGCAGTACTTTTATATAAGATTTCATAAACAAAATCACCCTACTTATTGATATTTCTTTTGCACGTGATTAAATCAATTGAGAGTTCATCAAATATTATTTTTTATAGTTGTGATTAAGTTTGAGGTACGTTTGATGCTACCCATTGAGCAACTTGAACGCCAACAATAATGGCCGTGGATAGGACCGTGTTACTTCGAATGAATCAAATAGTTTGAAACGTTACTGTGGCGTTAACGCAATCGTTCTCGTGAAGGGTAAACATTGGCTCTACTCATACAAGAGGCTAGAAATTCTACAATGAATCGAATGAACGCTTCACGCTTATGTCTAACAGCCTCGAAGTTGGTATCGAGCTTTAAATGGCGTATTATAAGGGAACGCCGCTTAAAAGTGACTCACCACCAGCTACCGTGAACGGGCCGAGCGTTGATGCAGGCGAGCGCCAACCAGACCGCGAGCAAAGACCCCTGTCGACAGCCCATGCCGTCCCGTCCGACTCGGCACCACACCACGCCAACCACCGTCTCTTTTCCGTCGACGTCTCTACGTCAAGTCGCCGTCGTCGCCGTCAAAGTCGTCTTCACTTTGACGACTCGAAATTCACCGAACACATCCATCGTCGCGAGGTAACTCCCAGCGCACAGCAGCCCAACGGTGCCCCGTCGCGTCGTCTGCCACGCGCGGCTCGCGTTGCAGACGGCGATTTCTCCCACGGTCGTCTGCTATTCCGGCGTCGGCCAATGGGAGGGCGGGAGCGGCGGCGCTGCGGTCGCCGTTCCAGCCAATCGGCGAAGAGGCGCTCGGTTGGAGGGGTTACTTGAGCTTGCGCTACTCCTCTTAAAGGTGGGGTGTGGGTGGGGGCAGGGTGGGGGTGTTTAGGGGGTTTGCGTGTGTGTCCGTGAAGGTGTTAAAGGTGTACCCCCCCCCCCCCCCCCCCAAATAAAAATAAAATATTACAAAACGAACTTCTTCCGTGCCAGGTTGGTCTCACAAGTGATGAGGTTCCCTCGTGAGCACCACTCTGTTACAGGCAGACACCAACCCTTCATGGCGCAATAAAGTTTCTTTATATTTTTTTCTGTTTTCAATTTGATTAAATATGATGAATGATTATATTCGTGGTTTCTCACCCAGTCGTTCAACTGTACCTGAGACGAGATCCAGGTGCTTGAGGTTGTCTACTACAATGATTCGAACTTTTAGAAATACAAAGTATGCCGCAAGCGACCATAGTCACTTTTTTCCTTTTGGTGCTTCAGTGGAGTTACATTGATTGCTGGGATGAGCTTCACAGAATACATGCTACGCAAATTGTACGTAGCAGCGAATTAGCAAATAACTTAAATGTAAAAAATAAATTGGAACTGCAAAATATTTTTTTCTATGACACTTTTATTATTTATGTACGTTATACTCTACTTTATTATCTTCTTCAGACGTTCGAGAGTTTAACTTAAACACCCTCGTGGGTGTTTTCTATAAGTCCACAGGGCTTGAATATCATTGGATATCCAATTTACTATGAAACGTTCCAACGAATTGCGTCCGATTACTACAAAAAGCAACTTTAACCACGGTGTGTAGTTTCGTTCCTACCAATAATAAATCATTGCTAGTTTGCTACATGATCTGAAGATGAAGCAAGGAGAAAATTTCTACAATGTTGTTTTGTCAGGGTTTCGTCAGTAAGATTAGTTTTTAGGTTGTTCTTGTATACATCCATGTATTTGCTTTATTTATGATTTTATTAAAAATATATACATACTACGAAATATTAAGGTGATCTGCACTGCTGTGTTTAATGCTGTTTATTGAACAACAGCTTCAATAAAAACTAGATGGCTGCCTAAATCTTTCACGAAGCCATTTTGTTTACACAGAAAAACCCATGTCGTTAGGCAATTTATACAAAACTAGGTTGTAGCTTTACCTAAAACCAAGTCACCGTAAGAAACGATTTTCTAACGAAGAATGTAATAGAGACTCTTAAGAATGGTGACACCTTGAACTAGCAAGTAAACAGCTGTTTACTTGCTAGCTTGTTACAATGTATCTTTTGAGTACCCTAGGGTACTCAAAAGATACATTTGTAGCATGTGTGGGATTTTCGAGAACGCCTCTTAGTTTATATCTGGGAGTGCTGACTTGTACTGAACAATGCCAACAGATTCAGACCTGCAAGTTTACTTTATTGTTATTTAGACGTTCTGGTATTGCAACTATTTTAAAATTTGTCTGTATTAAAATGGATCCAGTTCAACCCTTTTAAGCTTAAAACCCCAGTTCCATGTTGCTTCCATATGCTACGAATCCGATACATGACAATTAATTTGAATTCCTTATTCTTTCAATCATCTTCTGCCCATACTTCTCAGTCCTTTATCACACAGAAAAGCTTTTTCGTGCCATGATTACATGCTATCTAGTTACCCAAGGGTTATTGTGGGTTCTAGTTAAACCGCATATGTTAATTTTGACGAGTAGTGACTAAACTTCTGAAGAAAAAGTAAAACAAAACATTTTCAAGATAGTTTTTTTTTTTGCATATTGAGATTTTGTTAACTAAGATTTACAATATAGTTTATCTCGACTAGCAGGGAAATAATATAACCTCTTTCGGATAAATAAACACTTGATAATACAAATCCAGTGCATTTGAAAATACGGAGTTGAAAAATAGTACAAGTTAATAAACGCAACTGTATTTTGTCACAAAAATAAATATAACACCCGTGAAAAAGCAACGACTTAAAAACACTGCTAACAGAAGCAATAAAAAAATGAGATTACATAGGTTTCGTCTTTTTTTTTAGATCGTCGTACTTCTCGTGCCATTAAGAAGTATCACGTATACATCCTGACGCATTCGAGTTGGTCCCTCTCTCTACCTGAGCGGGTGGGACAACCCCGGTGACGAAAGTGACGAAAATCGATGCTCAAGCAGCGTGACTCACTGAACGAGTGTCATTTTCCCCGGACCACAGACAGTCGTTTCATTGATGGTCGTTTCTGTCTCGCTCCGAGTCCGACATGAGGCCATTAGAAGGTAAACGGCTCTTACCGACACGTGACACCGGAACAATACGAACGAACGAACGACTGTAGTTCAAGTACGATGTGACTCTTTGAACCGGGAAGACTTAATGGCAATGATGATGATGATGACGATGATATTTATTTATTCATGCTTCAAGCGGTTCCTAAAAAGATTGCCGAGGCCTAAATTATAGAGGGGTGCGAAAAGGAAACCGAACCGTCGTTGTATACAGGGCAGAACATTAACAGAACACGGGGAGAACAATTACGTATAGATATGATGGGAAAGGTTGCTGAATTTCGTGAGGGGAGCTCAAAAGATACCAGAGGAGAAAAAAAAAAGGGGGGGGGGGCATTGTGTGCTGTTCATGTTAATTTATAATAAAAAAAAAATGCACGCTCTATATTTTTTTATATAGAAGGGCATACTATTATGGAATGCGGGTATCCCTTTCCTACCCTGCCTACACAAACCTTTGCAACTTTTTTCCAACAGAGATCTAGCGGTTTATACCAAGCCAACATATTTGTGTAGGTACACGATAGGAATTGAAACAGGTAGTTCATGATTTGCACCGCCAGAGCGTACGTGATGACAAACTTTGCCACCTGACACTACACTATCGTGAAGAAATGCTTTTAAATTACATTCATTTTGGGTTACATTTCGGAATATTGGATCCTGAAGATGACACTGATAGGGAAAACATCTTCAGGGTTCTCGAGTCTTCTGACGTTGAGTACAGCAGCAGTGATGATGACGATTTGGACTTGAATCTACAAATGCCTTGAAAAAAACAAACGAAAAAAACGAGCAAGTCGTTAAGGGTTTTTTTAACGTAGAAAATCTTGCCACCTTTATTGTCGTGTAGAAATATAAAAAAACATAAATGACGTTTTATGAAAAAAAAAAAAAGGACGTTCAGTGAAAAGCTTTGTCCACCTCCGACATGCGAAGAAGGGGACTACCCACTGATGTCACAACCCTTTGGGCTACTTTGCTTCATATTTTCAGAATTATATATATATATACTGGAAAGCTCTTGAAGGCAACTTCACTCAAGATAAAGCAATTATTTGGCATGCACATCATCACGTATTATGATGGGCATGCCATTTTTCTCAAATACAAACATACTGACAAAGGTAAGTTCAGTTTGAGCTAGTAAGCAGCGTGATGGCAAACGAAGAACTCGAGACGCTGAGTACATGTCTTTACTTCTTTGAGTCGAAGAAGCTACTTAAAATACCAGACTGTGGAAAGTTCAACCGATCAACGGTGGTATGAGAAGTTGGCATACAGACATGTTGCGAGAAATGAAACATTTACCTATACCTGACAAGCGAGAGAGACTTCTTCAAATCGTTTCAAACGCATCCGAGAGGCAGAATTGTCTGTGTTCTCCCTTTCACTTTTTTTTTTTATAATTGGTTAAAATTATACTGATAAAAGCTGAATCCACACGTTTTTGCCGGATTGTTTTAAGTTTCTAAGAGTCAAATTTTAATATTTGAACATTCAGATATAGTATCAAGGGAGTCAATAAACCGAAATACACAACAAAACGAATACATATCTACGATAATTTTTTTTTATTTTTCTGGGGCAGGAAAGAGAAAACGACCATCGCATTACTAAAAATGACTGCATTTACGGTTTCCGCGAAATCGACGCCCCCTAGTGACTGGAACACAAAGCTGTCACGGTAGGTTGGCCCACCAGCTCGGGTGATTGGATCGAATATTAACGGCCGCTGGCGGGGCCATACATGAAGTTGTGAGAGAAAGTTAGAGAACACGTGCTGAAAATCGCCGAACTTACACGTAGCAGTTGACATGATCACTAAATAATTCGCATTTGACACAAATGCAATTAAACACTCCTGAAAAAAACCAAAAATCTTTGCTTTAACAGGACTAAACGGTACAAGAGTCAAAAAGGCAAAATAATTTTGGAAATGTTTAGGGATGCAGGATGAGGCATAACAATACCATAACTTATAATTGTAATTGGCTCTGAATAGGTTTCCTCCCCCATCAAGATTTAGAAAACTGAATAGAAAAAGATAGCTTCACAAGGATTCAGAGAATGATTTGAAGTACGCCTTTCTAACGTAACCGGAACATACACACAAAGAAAGAAAAAGAAATATTTTTGTTTTGATGACGGTTTGGAGAGAAAGCCATATATTACAACAGCAATACAACAAGAACTTAATGCAATCTCTAATGTTGTGCCGAGGTCTCCCTTTGTTGCCACGACTGTAGAATAATAATTTGTTGTACCTTAGTTCACTTGCATTCACCCTTTAGCACGATGGTCCTCGTTCAGAAAGTCGGAGGCCGAGAGAGTAGTACGGCGGTTCGTCTTAGCTTAAATGGTCATAAACCATTTCTTTCTTGCTTTTGTGCAATTCACGAAGAATAAAAAAGCCTTAGAAGGTGACTTGAGGTGTTTATACACAAGAAAGAAAATATATAAGGTCTACTTTTTTTTAATTTTTACACTTTTTAAATAAGGTTTATCCTTCAACTTCTAACTAGGAAGAAAGGAGAGTTCAAGGAAGGCGTTCGAGCTTCGAGTACACATTTTGTTCTTGACATTCATAATGCCACGTAGAAATTAATTTTTTTTATTCTTTTGATGAATATTAACAAATTCATCACTATTAATTTACATGAAAG